CCCCCACCTCCTTTTGACTTTTTGTCACTTTGATGTTCCTCCTCCTCTCCATGAACCCTGAAGTCAACTAAAGGGCAAATGAAAACTATCAAGACGCCTGCCATTTGATATAAATAAATAAAACTTTTCCAATGCATTGTTCTAAACACCACTCACACTACTGTTCTCTTCGGTCTGGATCATCATCATTGAAAACAATACTTTAAACAATACTTGTAAAAATTTCTGCACATTTGAAATAATGAAACAATAATAAACACTGTGTTTACACTTATTTTAATGAGCATGCAATTTCTTTGGGCCACCCTATATATCATGGCTTATGAAAAGATAGCCAATTCATCAAGAATAGGCAATTTTAGAGCCTTCCGCAATTTGAAATATCATACTTCAATTGAACTTATGCCATTTATAAGAGCTTAAATATCTTGGCTATCAACAAAGGTCAACTTAGTACGTAATAAGGGTGTTTATGTGGCAGTTTATCTGCAATCAATTTTCTTTATAAACTAATAACGAAAAAGTCAAAAGTGGCCTTAGGAATTTCTCGAAAGAAATTGAAGGTGTGCTGGGGTTTGATTCAAATAGCAAATATGTCCCAACTGAATACCTAAAATGGAGAAATTTGTATGTATTTGTTACAAAATTTCATTTAGAATTTTAACAGACCTAAGTAGTTAAAGGATTAAGTCTGTAGCATGAGAATATTTTCAGCTTTTATTCATAAAAAGTGATTGTTTAGTAATCGGAAAGGAAATATGGAAAGCCCTACAGTGCTGCAGAAGAGATGATTGGTTACAAGTAGGACAAACAACTTTGATAATGTCGCTGTTTTTCTTCCACAGAAGTCACATCAGGATTTCAGATCGATTCCCAAAGTGCTAATTGAAAAAGCCGTGCAGTCTTACTGTAAGTTTAAGCATTATCAACAATTTATGGCGCTTCGGTTCAATTTTAATTTTTAACGAAACCTTTTTCAGCTTCCAGCACTCTCGCAAGAAGCACTGAACAATCCTGTCGCCCTATTCAAACATTTTTGCGTCAAAATATGTAAGATTATCTGATATTCATATGTCTCTAATAAGACGATGAAAGCTTAAAAAAAGAATCTTACATTGCAAAATAGACCCTTATTTATTCCAATTCTAACCCATGGCTGTAATATGGTCTTTTACTCGAAATCAAGCAGGGATTGATCTATTTATATTAAAGAACTGATGAAGGGCAAATTAAAACCAAATAGATAATAGACTTGCTACTTTCTTTTCCTGTGAAGTCTTCGTTGAAGGGCTATTCGTGCTTTGACACGCCCACATGCCTTTTATCAATAATAATGACTAACTTGCTGGATGTATTTCATTTCCCAGATAAAATTTATGCGCAGATTGTCGGTACACTGTCAGCATTCATTCATAGGGTCCCTCATCTCTTCAAGACTGTTAAGAAGCTAATAATTGCACAAGTTTGCCTTTAGATGGGTTATCAAACCACTTATACTCCTAAGTAAATATTTATTTACTTATATCATATTGCAGGCTTTATGGTAGTTATCATTAGCCCTTGAGTTGATTTCGGTCTTCACAGAGGGGCGTAACAGACAAAGTCACAAAAAGTGGATAGAGAGAACAAAAGAGGGATTCAGAGATGTAAAAGAAACCGACGACACAAAGGCAGAGAAAAGGGTAAGGGGAGTACCATGGAAGTGGTGGAATATGACATACAGTAGGGTCATGGTAGTTTAAGTGAGGAATCAACTGCCGATGCATAGACTTCTGCCGTATGAGTATACATCGCCTAGGATGTACCACGTGGAGGTGAATTTACCGCACAGCTCTTCTAATTAACTATTATCACTTGACGTTTTAGTTCTGTTGACCTGTTTAGATTTTTATAAAATGACTTTTTTCATTAGAAATAAAATGGAATTCAATTAAAATTGAAAGGAAAAAAGGTAATTTTTTTCTTCAAGACCAGAAAGCCGATTATCATCAGGAATAGAAGCGCGTTTAAGGGAGCTGAGACAGAGCTTCTCACAGCGAACTGAACTCATCAAGAAACGAGATTTTGCTGTTCAAGAGGAGAAGTTGGAAAGCAGTGAAGATGAGACGGCTAATCTTCGTAAGTCCTAGCTATGTCCTAATCAGCTCATTGCATTGTGAGTGGAAGTCTAATGGCAATAAGAAATAAAAAAATATTTTTTGCCGCTTGATTCGAGGACTAATTTTAGATAGGATGTCGGTATTATTCAGCCCCATGGTGGACTACTAGCCGCAAGGTACGGAAATTGAAATAAAGTTGGAAGGGCCTATAATTTAACACGACGTCGCCTGAACTGCAGACTATGTTAACTAGTTTATATCTTTCTTCAGGTGGTGCTCACTTGTGGGTTTACAATAATGCTTCCAGTGGGTTAAGGAGAACACGTAGGTGCCGTTCTGTCATATTGACTGCTATACCAAAACTTTAAGCACCGAACGTAATCAACCAATAAAAACAGCAGAAAATAAATTGAACGGACCGATTCTTCTCAAATTTAAATCTGGAATGATCTGTTAAAGGTCAAATAAACAGAAATCGAAAAATTGGGAACCTTGAACTTGTTCCGGAAGTCCATTTGATCCCCCGTCTTTACCATTATTTGGATTTTCTATCTCCCAATTAATATTGTAACATTTCTTTGCGTTAGATTAGGTAATAGTAAAGATAGCAAAATGCGCGTCAAGTCAGCAATAGAAGGCACTTTGGCCAATAGTGCATAAATATTTTATTACTCTAAGGTAGAGGGAGGAGGCGGGTTTTATAGGCCCAATGAGTTCATTCGTCTAGAAACTGAGCTTCTGGGCTTCGTAGAATTCGCCCCCAGTTAATTGCAGTCTTTTTTCAACCGGCCACCAGGTAAAACAGAGGAATAGTTATTTTAACGAGACTTTCAGTCGTACTTGCCTGTCTCCACATCTTCATTGAAATGTCATGTCTGTCATTGGCGCTAATCACGTCATATGCGCGTCAGCGCTAAAGGGATGAAGGTAGAACAGATAGTAGGGGAAAAAAATTGTCTCGGATTCACGTTAAAATGAACAAAGTTGAAAGCTGGGTGCATATTGTGACTTTTAGGGGTAACCATAAAAATCTGCGTTTAACCCTTTAACACCCGATTTAATTTTTGAAAAATGCACCCAACTACACTCACGCATGTCTTACAACGGGCTGATGGCTCCGACGTGATGAGTTTTGGTGGTATCAGAGGAAGGCTACGAAGACGCATTGGGCATGTTTCAAACGGTAATAGTGCCTTCTGTTACGAGACTAGTACTATTGGAGTTTATTTTGAACGAGGACCGTGTGGTGCCCTGCAGGGCGTTAAAGGGTTAGCAGTGCAAACGAGATTGGCCGCGAGAGGCTGCATGTACAGGACTTGTAGAAGTCGCAAAGGTTCCATTAATCCTCCCAAAATGCAAAAAAAAGGTAACTACAACGTCTTACACAAATCACTCTTCAATGAATAAAATGTAAAATTTGCATGTAATTTTGTCCGATTCGCATCCTCGGGAAGATCTTTGAAATTGTAGAACTTATTAGTTAAACCTGCAACTGGCGGGAATTTTATAACCAATACATTTTGCTTCGATTCCTTCCACTTAATTAATAACTTGATTGAATTTAAGTTAATTTAAACTTCCCGAAGTCATCAAGATAATCGTAGGCAGCTTTCTATTTGAGCAAAGAGAAGGTGGTCTGGAAACGCTCTGATAACAAGAGTTCGACCACTGGACTGGAGTGCAGTAATTTGAATGATACAGGTTCGATTTAAGCGTTTCATAATAAAATGATATCTGTGGATTTCTTCTTAGTCTAATTCAATTCTTATGATAAAGTAGTTTTGCACGTTAGAATAAGGTATGACACATTTACAGGAATGTGTGAATATGATCAGTGCTTTCAGAGTTGTTTATGCATATAACTCCGACTCTTTTGAGTTCTGTCATTTGTGTTTGTGAAGGTTATCAGTTAACTTGCCTCTAACAGACTTTTTTAATGAGACTCTGGGCAGACGCAAAGTTTCTTATTTTGGTATGGTTTTGACAAGTAGATCACGAAAATTACTAACGCCATTCATAATTTCTTCCGTTATCTTGAATTTAAAATTGGTGGGATAGCATTCTTCTATCTTATTTAATTATTTTCTGAAAAATAGGAGACCACTTGGTTCCAAAAACCGTTCAAACTCAACTCTCGTATGACTGATCATTTCAATTAAGGAAGAAAAAATGCAAGAAGGCGTTTTGGCTCATTTTTTACTGTACGATATACGATATATTTCAATCTTGCCCGTAAAATCTAAGGCTATTATGAAACATTAAGCATGGGCATTGCACACTTGTATTGTCCTTTTTTTCATTTTAGAGACCACTACCTCAGCAGAAGGTCAATTAGACGTTGGTTATACAGCCGAGGAAGAGAAGCACTCATTGTGGCAAAACCCTCCACGCTCCCTGCACATTAGACGCCCTCCCTGTTTCATTGACATTAGTCCTCACAAAGGCTCCTTTCTAAAAGCTGAAGATGCCCGTCTCTACTATATTGTCATTGACGATGGCGGTGATTTGGCTCCGGAACCAAACGGAGGTTTGCGAAACTACTCAACTTCATTTGCTGGACTACTTAGTTGACGTCTCATTCATTTATTTTTAGTTGAATTTCTTGGAATATCAACTGATATTCCTACAACTTGGAGGTTTGTTCTGCCCACTTGGCTTCCAACTCCTAAGGAATTTGCTAGTGTCACAATTGAACCAAATGGTAGGATACTACTAACCAACTTATGCACCACATTATTTATTTAGGAATATTTTACATCGTTTGGATATTCTTCGTAATGCTCGCATTCATTTATAACAGCGTTGCAATACCAATCCGCGAAGCCTTTGATATTTATGACAAATTGGAACATCAAGCAATGTGGGTAACGTGTGACAGTTTGGCAGATATTATATATTTGGCAGATTTGATTATTATCAAACCGCGAATTCAATTTATCGACCAGGGTGTTGTTATGGTACATTGGAATTGAAATCACGGCATCTATTCTAGAGAGATTTCAATACTTGCGCTAAAAATTATGCCAGGGGGTTGAATTTCAAGCTGGATATTGTATCTGTGATACCTTTTGACCTGCTGAGTCTCATTCATGGAAAAGTGATGGCCAGATATCGTATTCTCCGGTTTTTAAAGGTGAGAAATCCTTCAAGTTAAATTCCTTACGCTAATAAAGCAAAGATTCTTAAAATATGGTTAACCTTAAGAGGTAGTTCAAGAAGCGTTTTATAAGGTTACGGAAGGTATTTTAGATCTAATATAATATGATTTTTTAATGAAACACTATTATAAAAGGTCGACTATGATCAAATCGATTGAAATGTAATCGGTTTTGCGAATCTCTGAGAAGTGCTCATTCGCCTAGTCGGTTGACCTTTTATTGTTGGGACAATTCTCGTCCTGATTTGGTGTGCTGTGATTATTTGGATATTGGCGACTCGTATTTTCTTTCAAGATTGGCCTACGTATCCTGCAAGTTATCTGCATATCCTGTTAACTTCAATAGGTATTTGGGAACATTCCATACTTGACACTTTTACAACGCGAATGAAGTACTCTAATTTGGGCACGGTTCCCTTCTAACAGTCAATCGGATTAAAAAATTTTTACTCTTACATAGTCGTAGTCTTTAACTTCAATAAACGGCTATCCCATGTTCTTTCTCCTCGGTTTTATTTCATCTTAATCAATTGTAAGCGTGATCACCCAACTATACTGCATTGATATTGTATCTTTGGAAGCCATCCATAGCGGCCTGAAAATTAATAGTTATTCAATGCCTTATCGAAAAATTTTATAAACTTTACAAACTATGCACAGAATTGCCCAATTTATTTACAATAAATGATCCATATACCTTTTTGAAAATCTTGTCTAACTTTAGCTTCCGGTAATGATTGAATTCTTTGATCGAGTCGACTTACGCGTCAGTATTGGTTTTGCAGTTCGACTGGCCAAGACAATGGTATATCTCATTTACGTTATCCATGTTGAAACTTGCGGTTATTACGCCTTCAATCGATTTCATGGCCTCAACGCATCCGATTGGTCAATCAGTAAAAACAGCAATAATAATAATCCGTAAATGCATATTAATATGGGCCATCTAATTATCAATTATTGAGGGTAACTTCTCTAATGGGAGACGCTTTGCATTTCTTTTCAGTTACATCTACTCATTCTACGTTGCAACAAAGATGGCCACTTCAATTGGAAATCTTCCTCATGCCACTAACCCTCCTGAATTCATTTTTATGACCGTGTATTGGCTGACGGGAGTCTACGTTTCCGCTATTCTGATTGGTCAGGTAGCTTTTTATCGACTTATTAATACACGCAATGCCACCAGGATGTTATTGAGATGTGCAGGCAAAATAGCGAATCTTCACAAAAATATAAACAAAATTGAGCACATTCTGTTGAATTGCGTCGTCGTGTGAAGTTTCCCGACTTTTCCATTAAATATTAATTTAAATTTCATATAGTTTAATCAAAGATGCTTAAATTTCAATATATAAAACTCTATGAATGAGAACTTTGATAATCGTAGATTAAATTGGGAAAAGCGAGCTTCCAAATCCACAAAATGTAGTTTTGTCAGTTGTAGGAGATACTTAAATGGAAAGTAGGCCTTAAATGAGTCATATCCTTTAGTGCTGATGAAGTCGAATGATTATTAACTTCAAGTAACCATGCGATTGGTTACATCATAGCAAGATAACAAGTAGAGAACATTTTTAGATTAATAATGAAACATTTTTTAAATGAAATTTAAAAAAAAACTGTCAAGAAGAGGGGTTCCTGTCGCATTTCCAGGAATGGGGATTCAACCGAGCTGGAACATATCCATCTAGAGTGGAAATTGTATATTCGATAACACTGCTTGTCAACCAGAACTTTATTCATCAATATTTTGATTTGAAACCCATTCTCTCCCACAGGTCATCGACATCTTGGACAGCCAGAGCGCAGATAAAGAGGCCTACAAGAAACGCATGGGTGCTACTCTAACCTACTTGAAATGTATTAAGGCACCTGAGGAGGACATTAACACAGTTCGAACTTGGTTCAATCACAATTGGAATCAGCAGAAGACGCTGGGTAAAGTCCCAGTTTTTCTGATATCTCAATACTCTTTTAGATGAAAATATGCTAATTGATGCCCTTCCGCTGAAACTGAAGAGAGATGTTTTGATTGATGTGCACTACCAGACGCTGAGTAAGGTATCACTATTTAAGGACTGCGAAAGGACAATGATACTTGATCTGATTTGCAAATTGAAACCGGTTTTATTTTTACCTGGGGCTCTGATCTGTGAAAAGGTAAAACCGTTTTTAATCTTCACATCTTATAAATGTAAGAATAAACAACTAAATAAGGAATCATATAAGCAATTAAAAGCTTTGCAGACTTTCACTTGGATAAGTAGTCCCCTAGTTGATAGTAACACCCACCGGGATAGTTTATTAATTTGTAAAGATTAGAACGAGGAAACCTTCATCTTATTGATTCCCTCAGTTATTGCAGGCCATGGAAGTGGGAAACAATGTGACCGAATGAATGATGGATGTGGTCAGATGTATGGGGAATTCACTTCTTGATTCACACCAGTTAGAAGAAACCCAAAGAACCTTTTTATTATACATGACAATAATGTGGAGTAATTCGAATGTTATTTATTATTTATTTATTTCAAATGGCAGGCGTTTTGATAAT